CGCCCGACCCGGCCCGGCCCGCTCCGCCCCTCTCGGGCTCCGGCCCGCTCCAAACTTTCTCTGTTCGCCTTTACGGGCGCTGCTCTCCGCGCGGAGGACGCTCCTCTCCCCAGCAAGCAAACTCCTCGGCTCGGACGCGCTCTCGCCGAGGCTTTGATTTCTCTGGAGATTTTCCCTTCACAGACACGATCGTTTAAAAAGCACCTTTTCGCTTCTTTTGCCACATCTCATTTCCTTATTTTTCTTCCTTCCTGTTTTTTTGTCTTTTTTTTTTTTTTTTTTGGTAACCCCAAATTGAAGGGAATTATAAAAATAAGAGTGAAACGCTTGCGGCTTTTTTTTTTTTTAAATTTCTCTCCTTTCAAACTCTGCGAACACCACCTCAAAATAATATGCAAGTGTGTAAGAGAGGGGGAAGAAAGCAGCCAACAGCCCAAACACCCGCTCGGAACAGCTCTAACAACACACTCCGTGTAGGTGACTTCTTTGACCAAATTTAGCAGCCGCTAATCATTAACATTCTGATACATATTCACCACCGGCCTCGGAGGGGCCGCGAAGCATCCCGGGAGATGTAGTCCGCCCGGGGCGACCGCGGCTCAGCAGACCACCAGATTGACTACAACCACCGGCCGGCCACGCGACCACTCCGGGACGCTCTGCAAGCGCCCCGCCCTCCCGAGGCGCGGAAAGCGCTTGCAGCAACCAATCAGAGGTGGCTGAACATTAATCGCCGTTCTGTGTTACTGCCCATCATTTCACTGCTGACAAATGGAAAGCCGGCGGGGAGGAGCTGAGCGGTTGGAACCCACGTGGGGGCCGGGCGTCGCGGCGGGCTCCGACCAATGAACGAAAAGAGATGGGTTGGCGGGGGCGGGGCGGAGACGGCCCGTCCAAGGCGGAGCTTAGCCTAGGCGGACGTTCCTTAGCGCGAGCGTTCGAACCCGGGAAACATTTGTTCAGCTGTCAATCAAAGTAACGTGGGCCGGGAGCGAGGCGGCTGCCGTAGCTGCTGCCCCGGCCGCATCTTCAGAGCGAGACGGCGGCGGCAGAGAGGAGAGGGCAGAGGTGTGGCGAAACAGGGCTTGGCCGGGGTCTCGTCCTCCCGCGCCCGCTCGGCCGGCCTCCGAGACCCCGCGGGGCCTGAGCGCGGCTCGCGCTCGCAAGCAGCCGGCCTCTGTCCGGGTCCCGGTCCTGAGCAGAATTGGGAGTGGCGAGCCCGGCCAGAGGAGGGTCTTTGCTCGGCTCCGAGGTACGGGGTCTCCCCGGCCGGGCGACTGTCTGGCCCCGAGTCCGCGGGCCCCGACTCCCCTCCGGACCCTCGCATCTTCCACTTGAAAGAATCCTGAAAAAGTCCAGTCGGGTTTTAGGTAGGGGCAGTGGGTTCGGACGTTCATATCCGAGCACATATTCCCTGTTTGAGATCTTGGCCGAGGTCGTGCTGTTCAGAAAAAAAAAAAAGAGGAAAACATCCACTTTTGTGACGAAACCCTTTTCTCCGTGCAAGAACTCATTTAATGTGCCACCAGACGAATTCTGGACTGCGCAGAGGCCATCCGTGGGATCTGCTGTCCCAGGCTCCCTGGAAACTCAGAATCCACACCGCCGAGAATTTCAATCCCGCAAATAATTTCTCCTCCGTCCGCAAAATAAGAGCTTGAGGAGTCCTCTGGCAATTTTGTGAACCGCCACTACCTCACTCCTAGGCACGTGTGTCTGCTGAAATGTGGCCATTCCCAAATGAGATGCCAGTGAGAACACGATGTTGAAGAATTAGCGATATAAAGTGAGGTAGCTCAATAACTTACGTTGATTCCATGCAAACGCTCCATCTTTGACATATCAGTGGAAAGAAACACATTTTTTATTGTGTTTTAAATTCATTTTGCCCCTTTTGTACTTTTTTAACCTGTTCAGGTATTTCTATAGGACAGCACTATTCTGAGATATTCCCAAGAACCAAAAGTTAGATAGGGTGAGACTCTAGGACAGTGAGCTTTCTAAGAAAAACAATCATGTTTTATTCTGAGGTTGGTTATTTGCTCTTACTGGAAATTTTCGGCTCTGTTAAATCACCATAATGCTTATGTAGGAAGTACTATGTTCTCTACTTTAGTCAGAATGTTAGCAAGTTCTGTGAGAATAGGGAATTGGTTGTATGCAAGGCTGCCCTCCAAATGCCCAGAATGATGACTCACGATTATTTGGAGCTTAGTAAATAGTTGTTAATAGCATTAATGAATAAATTCTATGTGTATCAATATAAAAAGCAGCTGCCTCATTTGGGCTATATTTATTGAAGTTCTGTGCAATTATTTCCCAGAACAGGAAACAAAAATTCTAACTGTCGAACCCAAACAGCTAAGCAAAGGCTCAGTGGACAAAGATACCTTGCTGTATTCGGATCAGATAGCTTAGTGTGGGGACCCTTCTCCTAATACTTCCTGAAAGGTTGTGTCAACAGAGAGGTGACACCACATCTTGTACAGCAATTAACCGCTAGGAAGAATGTATGCAATGTGTTAATTATTGAAACTCTCCTACCAATTTGGTTTGAAACTGTCTCATTGCTATTTGTTTCTCAATAAAATATGGAAAAAAAAATAAGAGGTGACTAAGAAATCAGGATGTTTCTTTATGTTTTAAGTACAGTTTTAAACTGTAGTCCTTGGATATAGTTCCCATTTTGGCCCCGTGGCAGGTCTACATAATTCACAGCAGTGTCCCAGGAAGATGCGCAGTGGTCCAGCCCTTGCCCCAACACAGGAAGTGGGTATGTCTCCTGGCTGCTTTTGTGTCTTCCATGCTCTGCCTGTGTTTCTCTCATTATACTTCTCGCAAACTGCTGGCTCACTTGTGCAATCATTTGGAGACTTGTCTTATTCCTGCCTCAGAGGTGGGGCGGGATGGTGCCCAGAGTTTTCACATGGGAAAAGAGTGGCAGTTGGTATTCATATTGAAAGATAGGACTGGGAGAGGTAGGGAATCCAACCTGAAATGACACATGCCAAGCACACTTTTCTCTCAGTTTAGATGTTATAAGTCATCTTATTTCACCAAAGTATTTCACCAAATATTTGTTGAATACCTAGTACCAAAATAAGGGAATGTAACAAACATGGCTATTGATTCATTTCTTGCTTCTAAACTTAGTATGTGAAAACTTAGCTCTAAACTTAGTATGTTTGCCTGCTCAGTGAAAATGGATCTGGGCCTTTTGAACACTTTCCAGTAGATGCAAAAGCTTTGTCAATAAAGAGCAGCAAAGAGACATTGCAGGAAGTAGGGTTTCATTGCTCATGCTGGTGTGCATGCTGGGCAGGATCCTACAGCACAAGTAGCAAGCAATAGCACCCAACAATTTTTTCCAGAATCTCCCTTAGGTACTTTTGGAGCAACTTTGTCCAGGCACTCCAGAGGATGGATCTCCATCAAGTTCTGGAGGCTAGGTATCTGGCATGCTCTGGAAGGCAAGTTCCCAGAGCAGTCCACCTACTATTCAGAGAGCTAGTATGGTGCCCTCTTCATCGAGGGCTAGATTAACTCAACCCTACAATCTGGTGTGAACAGCTCTTTAGGGATACTCTATTTGAGTCCTAATAATAGTAGCAGCTGCTCCTTATATCTGTTTTTTCTGCATGTTCTAGAGTCTTCTTTACTTCTTACCAGTCCCTTTTGGCTCTCACACCTATTGTGCTGTGTAATAATTTCTTATTTAGGACTTGTTCAAATTATTCTGTCACTAGGTTGGACCCAGGTGGGTGGAGTAAGCAACATCTTCACATAAGAGTGTGAAGTGCTACAAGGAGAGAAAAAACACTGGGGCAGGAGTCAGTGGACTGATGAAGCTGGTTCACAGGGGAGATCCTAGGAGGCTTCTCAGTCAAGGGGACATTTAAGCAGATGCCCAGATACCAAGAGAGAAAGAGTTAGTCATGGAAACATCATGGAGAAACAAATTTCAGATGTTACAGAAGTCCCATTTCAGGAAGTCCTGATAACTATGAGGATTTTTAAAAGACCAGTGTGTTCCACAGGAATAGTAACATGATTAGGTCATGGCCACATCTGTGGGTCCCAGTCACCTGGAACTTCTTACAATGATGAAGACATTCACTGATGTCCTTTGACAGTGCTGGGGATTACCTCCTGGCCCTTGCATATGATACAGGAACTCTCTATAACTGAGTCACATCCCCAGTCTATTTTCAATTTTATTCTGAGACAGGGTTTTGCCAAATTTCCCAGGCTGGGCTTCAACTTGTGATCCTTCTGCTTTAGCTTCCTGAGTAGGTGACATTATGGGCATGTGTCACAATTCCCAGCTAAAGTTTTTTTTTTGTTTTTTTTTTTTTGAAAGATGTTGCTGGGAGGACAAAAGGACCGTTGGCAGGGAGTGAAAGGATCATTATAGATATCAAATGGTCCCAAGGTCCCCATATCCATTCATTCTTGACATTGAAGACTAAACGTATTTTGGAGACACTGATCTTTACAGAGTCACGCACACACACACACACACACACACACACACACACACACATCTTGCCTACACATGTACCCC